AAACCATGGGACCTATGTTTCTTTGGGCCTGGCTTAATTCACGTAACATAATTTTTTCCAAGTGTTTCCATTTCCTAACAAATGGAGCAATGTCATTCTTTCTGATGGAGCATAGACTTCCATTGTGTATATATACCACATTTTCTTGATCCATTCATCTACTGAGGGGCATCTGGGTTGGTTCCATATCTTAGCTATGGTAAATAATTCTGCAATAATCATAGTCGTGCTGGTAGCTTTAGTGTGGTCTTGTTTGTGATCATGTGGGTAAACACCCAGAATTGGGATTGCTGGGTCATAGGGGAGCTCTATGTGGAGTCTTTTGAGGAACCTCCATACTACCTTCCAAACTGGTTGAACAAGTTTACACTCCCACCAACAATGAAGTAAGCTTTCCTTCTGTCCACATCCCCTCCAGCATCTGTTATTATTATAGTTCTTGATTTTAGCCATTCTAACTGGGGTGAGGTGGTATCTCAATGTTGTTTTGATTTGCATTTCTTTTATGGCTAGGGAGGTTGAGCATTTCTTCATGTGTCTATTGGCCATCCATCTTTCCTCTTCAGAGAAGTTTCTGTTTAAGTCTTTAGCTCACTTATTTATTGGGCAGTTGTTTCTTTGAGGATTTGTTATTGGGGGATTTAATTTTTTGAGTTCCAAGTATATTTTAAATGTGAGACCCTTGTCCGTTGTATGGCTAGTGAAGTTCTTCTCCCAATCCGTAGGCTTTCTATTGATCTTGATATGCATGCTGAGAGCAATAAATTTGCCCCTCAGGACTCCTTTCACTGGGTCCCATAGGTTTCTTTCTGATGTATTTTCATTTTCATTGAATTGTAGGAACTTTTTAATTTTTTCTTTAATTTCTTCTGTAACCCATGTATTGTTCCAAGAATGTTGTTTAATTTCCATATGTTTAAGTTTTATCTACTTTATGCCTTGTTATTGAGAACCAGTTTGATTCCAGTATGGTCAGATAGAATACAGGGTACTATGTCGATCCTCTTGTATTTGCTTAAATTCCTTGTATGAACTAACAAATGATCTATTTGAGAAAAAGTTAGGGAGTTTGCAAGAATAAGACCCTGCTGGTGGGAATGCCTGTAATTCTAGATACTCAGGAGGCTCACATCTGAGTATTCAGTTTTAAAGCCATCCCAGGCAAGAATGTTCATGAGGATTTTCTGGGGTAGTTCAGCACCACACCCTGCCTCAAGTCTGTGGCTGTTCACCACCTTTGCCAGCATGGGCTGGGCTGAGCTGCTTATGCAAGCCAGTATGGAGAGATGCTGCACCCCACTGCACGTCTGTAGTTGTTCACAGCTGCTGTCGATGCCACTGCTGCTGCCACAACTGATGCACTGCTTGAGCTGCTGCCACTGCCCCAGGATCAGCTGGGCCACATATGCAAGCCAGACACTCCACCACGAGTCAGGTGTTAGACACTGCTCTGCCTCTGGCTTGGCTGGGCCGCTTATGTGGGTCAGTATGGAGAGGCACAAACCACCAGGGGTCTGGAGTTGTTCACTGCAGCTGTCGCCACCTTAGCCACCGCTGCCGCCCTGGGCTGGTCTGGGCTGTTCCTGTGGGCTAGTGCCAAGAGGCATCGTGCCCGGAGTCTTGGTGGTTTGGTGCCACTGCCAGTTTCTGCTGCTGCTGCTCCAGGTTAGGCTAGGCTGTTTAAACCAGCAGGACAGAAGTACCACAGTGTGAGTCTAGGGTCATTCACCACTGCTGAAAGCTGCTGCTGTTCCAGACTGGATTGGGCTGCTTGCACCAACCAGGCAGAGGCGCCGTGCCAGGGCCACTGAGGGAAGTCTTCATGCGGGCTCTGCATTTGAGATTTCTGTTTGTATTCTCTGGGTTGGCACTGTACCTTGGGAGTCTTCTGGGAGCCTTGGGATGCTTGCCTGTGTGTGGTCTTTGGAGCGTCAGAGCCAGGATACTTAAGCAGCCTGGCACGAATCCCCACAACTTAAGCTGCTCAGCACAGAGCCCCATCACCAACAAGGGGTGGGGGAAGGGTCTTCCCACTTTACTGTCTGTGTAGGTTTTTCCCTTTTCTTTTATCACTTCCTATATCTCTCTGAGCAATTGCATTTTTTTGGGGGGGAGGGTGTCACTTGGTGAAAAAGAGCATTGAAAGCCAAACACTGTTTTTGGTTGGAGAGAGCTGTGGTGTTTCCCTGCTGTTCCATTGCCATCTTGGCCCCTCCTTGTCAGGTGGAATTTTTCTTAGGCGGCAAGTGGGCCTTGGTTACCAAAGGATAGGTACATAAAAGAATATGTTGTAAAGCCAGCAATTTGTAGTTAGACATTTCTGTTAATATAGCCTTCACAAGATTAGGGAACAAAGCGGGTGGTATATCCTAAAGTATTTCAAAGGGATTAAATTCTTTAACATAATGGTTACATCTTGCTTGAAGAAGAGCAAAGTGAAGGAGACTTACGTAGCCATAGCCAGTCTCTGTATTTAATTTAGGTAAAGTTTCCTTTAAGGTCATACTCATTCTTTCTAGTGCCTTGAACTCTGAGGTCTATATATGGATTGTAACTTCCAATTTATTCCTAGGGCATTAGTTAATAATTGAGAACTTAGGCCATGAGTGCAGTGCCAACTTCGGACCCCACACCTAAGGGTAAGTCAAATCAAGGAATTATTACATGCCTCAGCTCAGCCTGAAAAAGTGTCCACTATTATAATAGATACCAATACCCATACTTTCCAGGCTTTACCTCTGTGAAGTCCACTTGCCCAATTCACCATCTGAGGTTCCTCACATGTGAATTCTTTCCATTTGTTCCAGCTTTTCAGCTTTTACCTGTTGGAAATTACCTATACACATTACAAAGGATTGTCAGGCTGAGGCCCCACTGGTTTTCAGATCAGTCTTAGGCAGTAGCCTCGGGCAATTTACCTTGGTGCAAATATCTACATATAAACTGACAGCTTAAGCCTGTATGCATTTTTCCCAAGTTTAGTTTCAAAATTTGCACACTTATTACCACTGTTTTTGCTTCTTCCTTTAATCTTAATAACTAGTAGCTCTAGAGACCCCGTTGGTTTTAGAGTGGTCTCTCAAGCTACCTAACCAGCTCAGATGTTTCTCTGTATCTTAGGGTCTCTAGTTTCTTTAACTCCTGTATAGTACTCTGAACCTTGGATACTTCTTCCATTTTATTCTCCTCCTTTTCTCTCAAACTTGCTTTCATGATCCCACTCTCCTTCTCAATGTGCTCCTTAACCTGCAAATGTTTTGGCAGGGTCACATGAGAGTTCCTTTGAGTGGCCAACTGCTGTTCCTTCTCACAACCCCTTTGCTTGCTCTTCAGCTTCTTCCTTAAGTTCACAAAAGTGCTATTGAGAGGTAAATTTTCCCACCTCCACCTGTTCCATTGGGACATGATATTTCTGCATTACATTTATGGTGAAGATCTCAGCATTCTTTTTGGCTTTTTACTCTAGTAGTTTCTCTTTCTAGTTTTCCACTTCACTGTATTTTTGTGACAGATCTTTCAACTGTTTGTTTAGCGCTTCTGTTTTTCTTCCCAATGCTCTTTTCCTTTCCCCGGCATTCTTTATCAGACCATGTGGTCCTTTAACTCTTACTGAAGAGTAACAATCTCTTTCTTGAGCCTGATATTTCCTGTTCACTTTTCTTGGCCTCATCTTCTATGACATAGCACTTCCTCGTCTTTCTCTATAACTATTCTTATCTTCTTTCTCTGTTGTTTTGAATATCTGGTGACACTCTTCAAAGCTTATAATCAACATGTACTTCAGGCTAATACATTCTTATATCAGGTCCAGCTCTTTTATTATGTCCACTATTTCTTAATGAAGCATCAGTATCTCTTCTTGGCCTCACTTGTGGTTAGCAAGGATGGTAGCATTGCTGTCTTGTGCTTCTGTTGACCTCTGACCTGTGGTCCCCTAACTTGCCTCATGCTCACCCAGGCTAATGTACTTGAATTTCATTTAATTCTGACTGTTTTCTAGGTTCCTTTTGAGGATTTTCTTCTCATTTTTGACTCTCACAAGTTCGTAATTTATATCTTCAAAGCTTTTCTTCACGTCAATAATTCTCTGGTTTCTCCAGTGTTCTCTTCTATTTGGTTTTAACCTCTTAGTGGGTTTTGTTTAGCACATATTGGAGATTCAGTATTTTATAAACTGTGTTTTGAGATAGAAGTGTGTGAATTTTTTTCTTTGCCACATTTCTTCTTAATTTTATACAGCTGTTTTTAAATTAAACACAGTTGGAATTCAGAGCCTCAAGCTCCTTTGCATGTTTCTCCAGAGATACAATCACATTTTCCAGGTGTTAATGGGATTACATAACCTGTCATTTTCAATCTTTCTCCCCCTTGGACATTCCTTTTTCCAATGTCCATTTTTCTTGCAATAAGCACACTGATCTAGTCCTGGAGGTTCCCTACTGCCATTTGCAAATGAATTGTACTGTCTTTGCCAAGGGTTTCTTGATCCCTATTCTGGTGCTCCTACCAAAACTCAAACTCCCTTCTTACTCTTTTTTTTTCCAGGGTACCTCTGTTGTCAAACACCCACTGGGCAACCACTTCCGACTCAAAATACACCTTTCCCTCAAAACTTTATAACTTTTGAAGCTTTCTTCTAAGATATGTGGCTAACTAACAAAAGCCATATTTAGGGCTCTTTGATTCTCCAAGGCTTCAAGATCTATAGGCTTATAGGTCCTATAGGCTTCTGGGAGAAGTTTCAGAAAAGCATTAGGGTACTCACTGGGGAACTCTCCCATCTCACTCACCTTTCTGGCTTTCCAGCCTCTGCGGTATCACTGCTAACCAAACCTGGCAATAATTGGTAAGCACCTCCATACCTCAATTGCTGTTAGTCTCAGCTTGGATAAATCTGGGGAAAGACTTGATCCAAATGGTCTGGTTCAATAGTGGAGCTACTGTCCGGTCCAGGGACCACATTCAAGTTACTGAGCAGTATTCACTCCCTTTTCTACCAGGTGAAAATCATCTGTAAAGTTTGCTGGCACTCATCCCAGTTGTGCATGTGTGTGAAAATTACTGTCTCTAATGAGGTAATGAGCCCTGGTTGTTTTTTTTTCTGAAAAGGATGGATTTTGCTGTTTCCAGTAATACAGGTCACTAGTTGTAAAGGGACCATATATTAAAAAGGGGACCTGCCCACCATCTCCTCCATGTTCCCGTCTCAAGGGTAATAAGGGTAACATACCATACTGTACCACCTCAGGATGGTACAAGTAACCAAATTTCGCATGGGAGGACTTAACATTAGAGGTGCTGATGGCAAGGAATAGGAGAAAGAGTACATCAGTGCATCTTCCTCTGAGGGATTCTGTAACCCTGGGGGAGAATATTTTTTGGATATGAAAAATTTAGGCCTTGTTCTCCCATCCTGAGAAAAGGAGTAAACCGAGGGTCATACAGGACACAGAACTATCAGCATGCACACACAGAACAATAGCCACAGACACTTAACCCACATGCCCCAAATCTCTCAATGTTGACCTCTATAGGAGGTCCCAGATGACAGAGAGGACATTCCAGATTGCCTCTTGAGGAGGTCGCGGATGACCTCTGGAGGATGTCACATATGTCCTCCTTAGGAAGCCCTAGATGACCTCTCATGGATGTTCCAAATGGCTTCCCAAGGAAGTGTCAGATGACTTCCAAAGGAGGTCCCAGATGTCCTCTCAATGAGGCTGAGATTACCTCACCAGTAGCTCCCAGATGGCCACTCAAGGAGGCCACATATGAACTCCAGAGAAGGTTCAAGATAACCCTCTTGAGAAAGCCACAGATGACATCCTATATGGCTTCTCAAGGAAGTTCCAGATGATGTCCGAAGACAGCCATATATTTCTTATCAAGGTAACCTGAGATGACCTCCAAAAGAAGCTCCAGATGACCTCAGGAGGTGGTCCTAGATTGCCTCTTAAGGAAGCCCCAACCCAGATGCCCCTCAGTAGATGAATGGATCAAGAAAATGTAGTATATATACACAATGGAATTCTATGCCTCCACCAAAAAGAATGACTTTGCCCCATTTGTTAGGAAATGGAAAGACTTGGAAAAAATTATATTAAGTGAAGTAAGCCAGGCCCAAAGAAACTTAGGTCCATGGTTTCCCTTATTTCCCAATCACTACTTTTATAAAGGTCTCAGATGACCTCCTGAGGAAGCCCCAAATGACCTCTGGAGAAAGTCCAAGATGGCCCCAGGAGAAGGCTCCAGATGACCTCCAGGGTAGGTCTCAGATGGCATCTCAAGGAAGTTGCAGATGTAGTCTTGATGAGGTTCCAGATGGCTTCCCAAGGAAGGGCTACATGACCTCTCAAGGAGGTTCCAGATGGCTTCCCAAAGAAGCCCTGCATGACCTCTCAAGGAGTTCCCAGATGGCTTCCCAAGGAAGCAACAGATGACCTCCAGAGGGGATCCCCAATCAGGCTGGCAAGCTTGCCCACACACCCCTAGAGGACCCTAAATGACTTTTTGTCCATGATTCTCCTCCGGAGACAAACACTTGAGGTAGACTCTCAACCCTGAGTGCTGACACTCTCACCTATGAGGATTTTTCCCTGAGGCCAAGGCCTGATGCCATCCAAATGGATTATCTCGATGGGGGTCTCGAAAAATTAAGACCTCTATAGTTCAAGAGAATCCATAGAGACACATTTAATATCATAAGTGTTCTCCTAACCACCAACCCCCAAAATTATGAAATCCAAAACTCCAAACATCAAAGGGCCAGCCTTTTTTACCCTTTCTTTTGTCTTTCCACTACAGAACTATACTTCCTTTGAGGTCTTTCCCTTTCTCCCTTCTACCAGTTCCTTCTTCTCTTCAGGCCTCTTCACTCTCCACAGGCCTGAACTGCTTTGAATGGGTCGTCAGTTGCCATCCTTTACCTCCTGCCCTCCCTCAACTTCTTCTCCTCCCAGGTCTTTCTCCTTCTGCTATCAAACCACTTCCTTCCTTACAGGACTTTTCCCTTTTTCATTCAACCATTCTCTGTATATATATATGTGTGTGTGTGTGTGTGTATATATATGTATATATATAGCCTTCTACACATCTATCAGTATATATATAGGGCACTACTGTGGCTTGATCACAGGTCCTTAGAACTTCCTGGCAGCTCAGATTGCCAGAGGCTGGTGTGCTAAGACTGTGACCCCATTTATGGATTAGCCATTGTAGGCCGTGAGTTGAAATCCCAGCATCGCCAAAAATTTATTCATGTAGGAAGAAACCACTTTCGACACATTTTTTTCCTGAAAAAAAAATCCTGGGTCTCAGTATGATGTATAATCCATATGCAAATATATACTCGTGATAGGATGTAATAAATGAAATGTTATATGTGTAATAATAATAAATAAATAAGGGTAATAAATGTCATACTTACTAAACCCATGTATGTAAACAGTGATCATATATGAATATTATTTTTTCCAGTGCTGTGGCGTCAATTCAGAGCCTGGGAACTGGTCTGAATTTCTTGTCTTCAAGGACCGAGAGCTTCCCCTTCACCCACAATGCCACAGAGTTACCCAGACCCTGAGTTCAAATCCCATGCCAGCCAGAAAAATTCCAAAAAATTCCAAAAAAATTCCATCCAGGGCTTTATTTTATTATGTTTTTTGGCCAAACATGGGTCTTGAACTCAGGTCTTGGCATCTCTGCCACAGCTGAGCTTGGGATCCTAGGACCCAAGTTCAAATCTCGGCATTAGCAAAAAATAAAAATAAAAAGGAGAAAGATAAAACAGAGAAGTTCAAGAAGGTGGTTTTACATTTTTTTGCTTTGCATTGTGACCATCCTGGGTCTAAATGACAAGGCCCAGAATGTGTACATGATCTTACATGCTGATGTTTGGCTGGCTATTATGATAGCCATAGCCGAAACCTCAACTTAAGCCTGGAGGTCAAATCCTGGGACTGCCACTAATGATTGGTGGGAGATTCTAAGAAACGCATTCCAAAATACATCCATACAAATGTTATAAACGTAACAATTAAATTAGTAGTTAGTGTATGAGTATACTATAAAATTATACACAACAACTACACTACATTGACTAATTTTCAATTAATACTTTATTATGTACTCAACCATGATACTTAAAAATGGAAGGAATAATTTTTCAATAATTGGCAATAATATAATTTATGTAATTTAATAATATACACTCATCTTTCTCTTGTTTTATACATATATATATATATTTATACATCTACATATATATGTAAACATATATATATGCCGATCTACACATTTATCTGTTTATACACATCACTCCTGTGGCTCAGTGCTATAGTGATGGCTAGCACATACAAAGTCCTGGATTCGATTCCTCACTACCACATGCACATAAAAATCCGGAAGTTGTGCTGTCGCTCAAGCAGTCGAGCACTAGCTTTGAGCATAAAATCTTAGGGACTGTGTCTAGAGGCTTACTCAAGACCCAGGACGGGCACCAAAAAAGATTGAATGTTGTGACTGTAACTCTATAAGAATAGGACTTCAAATACCTCATCACAGAGCAAGCTGGGTGTCTGATGCTGACAACTGCAATCTAATCTGAATAGCCAGATGTATACCACTGCAACCAAGCGCCATGGAACGAGATACTGCTGGCTTGTTCACCCCTGTCATCCAAGATACATGGGGGCTGAGACCTGACACTGGTGGGTTTAAAATCCAGCCCTGGCAAGATGTCTGTGAAAATCTGAGCTGTGGCTCAAAATGGTAGAGCTCTAGCCTTGAGCAAAAGATCTTAGGATATTACCCCCAACATTTTAGTGCAATCCCTCTGGGTGACTCCCCCCCCAAAAAAAATACCCCTCTAAATGATTAGATGTGAACTTTGTGCAGTTTGTGATGTGTTTCTGAAAGAATGGTGATACTGATGAAAGCACCCTAATACTAATGACAGCTTGTGGGATACAGCTATGTGATGAGTCCTTCCTGGGGTTCTGAGTCCCTCACAGGGTGCTGTGTGCTGAATCCTGCACAGGATATGTGCTGAGTCCTTCACCGAGTTCAGTGTGTTGAGTCCTACATTGGGTGCTGGATGATGAGTCTTTCAGAAGATGCTCTTTGCTGAACCCTGTAAAGAGGGTTATGTGGAGGCAGGCACCGGTGGCTCATGCATGTCATCCTAGCTACTCAGGAGGCTGAGATATGAGGATCGCAGTTCAAAGCCAGCCCGGGCAGGAAAGTCGGTGAAAACCTTATCTCCAATAAACCACAAGAAAACCGGAAGTGGTGCTGTAACTCAAATGGTAGAACACTAGCCTTGAGCTGAAGAGCTGAGGGACAGAGCTCAGGCCAAAAATTCAAGCCTCACGACAGAATAAAAAAGAGTGTTATATGTCTTGTCCATCAAAGGGTGTATTCTTTCATCTTGTCCTTGTAAGAACTCCACAACTGAGATGATTATGCAGACAAGAATATTGACACTCAGATATGTCCCCATGGGAGGGGCAAAATTATGTATTACTGAAGACTAGTGAGTTGTTTCCTGCAGACAATTGTTTTGTTTTGTTTTGTTTTTCTCAGTCATGAACCTTGAACTCAGGGCCTAAGCACTGACACTTACCTCTTGGGTTCATGGATAGCACTTCACCACCTGGAGCCAAGGAACCTCTTGCAACAGAGTGTCACGGCCTAGGGTTCTATAGCACAGGTCTGTCATCCTGCCTTCTCAGGAAGCTGAGATCTGAGGATCTGGGTTCCAAACTATCTCAGACACAAAAGGTTCCATGAGACTATTATATCCAATTCACCACTAAGAAACATGAAGTGATAGCTGGGTGCTTATGGTTCATGCTGATCATCCTACCTACTCAGGAGGATGAGATCTGAGGATCATGGCTCAACGCTAGACTGGGTAGGAAAGCCCTTGAGACACTTAGCTCCAATGAACCACAAGAAAACCAGGAGTGGCTCTGTGGCTCAAGTGGTAGAGCAACAAGATTTGAGCTGAAGAGCTCAGAGACAGCCCCCAGGGCCAGCTTTCCACTCCTCCAACCGACAATAATAAAAAAAAGATAGATACACACTAACAAACTGAAGTAGAGGGCTGGGAATGTGCCTTAGGGGTAGAGTGCTTTGCATATATGATTTCTCAGGACCACATCACTACGAAAAAGCCTAAAGTGCCTCTGTGGTTCAAGAAGGAGAGGGCAATCCTTGTAGAAGAGAAACTAGGTACAGTGCTCATGTCCTGAGTTCAAGCGCCAGGACTAGAATATGCACACACAAACACACACACACACACACACACACACACACACACACACACACACACACACAGAGAAAGCAGAAGTGAAGCTGTGACACAAAATGGTAAAGCACTAGACTTCTGTTCTGAGCTCATTGCCAGCACCCAGGCCCTGTGTTCAACCCCAAAACCTAGTCATCCAGAGCCCAACTAGGAGAGGTCAAAGGTTTCAAAATCAGAAGAGTTTCACCAGCCATAGATGACTGGAAGCTTTGTGATATACAACATGTGCTTGGATTTCCAAAGCTTCCAGAAAACTAGAAAAGGCATCATAGACCCATCATTGCCCTCCGTGGAACATTTCATTAGGTTCAGTGCCCTAGTTGTCTGCCAGAAAGACTCCTGAATTATATTGAGCACTGTATATGAGCCCTGGAATATAGTCTCACAAAGACAAGATGAGTGCACAGAACTTGGCCTGCCATGGGAGTTGGCACAAATGAAGGCTTCCTGTCAAAAAACAGCACTGGGTAGAGAGATAGCTTGTTGTACAAAGAGGACTTTTTCTCCTGACCTTCAGAGCCCGCCCACACTCCTCCTCACTAATTGGCCCAGATGGAGTTGTTTGATACACAGCTCTACAGGAGTGAGGCCTTTTGTGTGCCTGTCCAGGCAATGAAAGAGACTTCTCCCAGCTGGCCTGGGATGCAGAGAAACCCTCAGGCTACACTGTGAGCAATGAGGGGAGCCCTGGAACATGTAATGTCATAAAAGCAATCTCTGTGCTATGAACTCATTGTATTGAATACAAATTTCCTACCTTGGGTGCCATTTATCATAGCTACTCAGGAGCTTCACTTATAGGAATGTATCTATACATACACAAAAACATGGAGGTGTGCAGGTTCTTTTTGAGGGGACAGGTCCAAGGGTTGAACTATGAGCCTAGGCCTTGTCTCTGAGCTCCTTTTGCTCAAGGGTAGTGCATTAAGGTGGAGTCACAATCCCACTTCTGGATTTTTCTGTGATCTCTTTGAAATAACAGTGCCATGGACTTTCTTATGCTGGCTGGATTCGAACTCAGATTCTCTACATCTTAGCCTCCTAAGGAGCACGGATTACAGTCAGCAGACACTGGCACCTTCTTTCTTTTCTTCTTTGTTTTATAATCTGGACAATCTGACTTCTTAATAGGGTCATTCCAATGGTTTGGATTTATAAGTCAACTACCCAATGTTCTTTATAGCTACGTTCTCTGAAAAGGATTTTCTCTACTCATCATCCCCTCTGGTCACAGGTTTGAAACCAAAAGTGAGAATTGAGTGTCACAAGATTCATGAGAAAATGTCCACAAGACATACCAGTTCTGTCACTTAGCATTGAGATGCACTTAATTTACTGTCTCAGGGTATGAAGACCGAAAGCTGGAACAATCCTCATACTGTCTGCATTGCTCCTTTTGCCTAATAAGTGATCTAATAATTATGAGTGTTTTGTGTCTCCAAACTTAAGTATCTAGAACACACTAGAATCATCTTCCTGTTTCCGTTTTTTTCTAGTACCTCTCGAGATTTAGATGAAAGATTTGTGTGGAGTGGCTCCTAGGTGAATCCCTGAGGAAAACCACTTGAAGCCTCCTCAGGGGATCATGATTGAAAGCAGCCCTACCAGGAAAGTCTGTGAGACTCTTGTCTCCAATAAACCACCAGAAAACCAGAAGTGGAGCAGTGTCCTAGAGGGTAGAGCTCCAGCTTTGAAAGAGAAGGCCAAATAAGAGATACAGGCCAGATCAGTCAGGAAAGCCTGGGAGGCGCTTTTGTTCAGTGAACGACCTGATGGCTGGCAGTGGAGCTGTGGCATTGGTAGAGCCTCAGCCTTGAGCAAAATAGCTGAGGAAAGTATCACACCCTGAGTTTAAGCCATGGGATGGCCACCAAAAATATTTCAAAAAGCAAAGGCCAAGTTTATGTATTAATATCCTACTTACATGTGTATACTACCTCCCTGAGTGCAAACAGGCTGTATGCAATGCTTCTGCTTTTATTTACTGATTTATTTTTCAGATATGCTCATTGCGCATACTGCATCATTCTGTTCATTTCAACCTCATCATTTTTCTCTTCCCAGATTCCAGGCCTGTGTCCTTATATGATGCATACTAAAGCTCTCAGCAGCCTTTATTTACATTTTATTGAGGCCAATGCAGGAACCGTCACAAATCAGGCAGGGGAAGAGAAGATCAGGGTTCATAGGAATAACCTGTG